CCCCAAAACCCCAAAACCCCAAAACCCCAGATTAATTAAATCGATATTAATCTGATTATTAAATTAAATTAAATTATCAACATTTAATTAATATATTATAGAGAGATATTTTCTAAATTCCAATAGCCATCCCTGATATCATTATTGCTTTAAGATCTTAACTGATTTGATTAAATTTTTTGCCTTTTAAATTGAACTTTGCATTGAGGATGTTGGTGGCTTTTTATCAATGATTGAGATGTTTTGTAATTTATCCTGGTTTTACCCTATCTAGTGAAATATTATCTTGTTTAAATTTTGAGAGACCAATTTGCTTATCCTTTTACCCCCTGGTGCAGGCAAGGCGGAAAGATTTAGTGAATCAGAGTCAATTGATTGGCTAACTTGCCTTGGCGACTTCAACCTTAATTTCTAAGTCGAACTACTTGCTAACAATGCTAAAGCCCCACTGCTTGAATTTCTAGTTTTGAGCATTCCAAGAAGTTCCTTAACCTTCATTCTATCATGCTTCATTTGATTTCTCTCTTCGATTTCTGAATCCTCGTTCTTCTCACCTCTTGAGTGCAGTTAGTGAATCTAATTAATTGTTGTGTTTAGGTTGTTCTGATTCTCCTGATTTTAGTTATTTGCACTTTAGTCAGATTACGTCAAAGCTTCTATATAAATAGATAGTTATATTCAAGTCATGATCTTACTTGTTTACTTCGGCTATCTCTTTCTTTACCTTATTGGAGTTTCAGCTTAACTGCTCAAATTATTCACTGCAGAGACCTTATCATCATTCATGTTAGTTACAAGATCTGTTACCTACTTTGAATCTTGCCTCATTAAATTTGCTGATTCTGTCCCCGACCTCCTTTCATGGTCATTATCTCTCTGAGATTGATTCGCCTCAGCTTCTTCTATAATCATAGTAAAATCCATTCTTTGCTGTTTAATTTAAACACTTCTCATTATAGCATTATATCTCTCATGTATCTTTTCAATGTAGTCTGACATATTTTACTTGTCTATTTCTACACCTTTTAAACCTAGTTTTTTAGCAACATTTACTATTCCACTCTTCATGTCAGCGATTTAGAATAATGTCCTTTGTGTGAGATCTTTAAGATCTCTCAAACCCTTATCCTTTTCCTGTTGCTTATTCTAGAGCTATTCAATATCAGTATGATCGTATTAAGGCTAGCCATTCTATATATTTCTCAATTCATCTTCAAGTCTAAGTTTTTCCAGTTTCATTTAGTCAACCTTTCTTTCTCTAGTTTACTTTGTCTTTCGCAGATCATTGGTCCTTTCAATAAACCCTAATAGCCCTTCGATGTCATTTGGATTTGATATTCCAGTAACAGCTGTAATCTTTCTAAATGCTCTTTCATAGTAGTTTTTCTTCTCATTCACAAAAGCCTTAGTCACTTGCAGCTTTGCTATCCATTTCCTGTATACTACTTATCTTTATTTTAGCTTATTAATTATTTTTTCTGGTCCTTCCATTCCTTTGAGGATTTAAGTTCTTTGCTCCTCTACCTCAGCAACTCTAATATCAAGTTATCTCTTCTTTTCAATAATATTTGTAACTTTGTATATAGCTTATTCTCTTAGTTTTCTCTTCTCCTCCATTTACTATTGAACTTCTATCATTTATCTAGAATTATCCTCGCATTCAGTCTTGTATTATTGTATTTAAAGCTCTTGATATCTGACTAATTTTCTCATACTTTCTACTTAGGACTCCAAATTCTAAAAATAGAACTGTAAATATTATGGAAACATACTCTTATCCATTCTTGGTTTTTAGCTGGATTCCTCTGACACACGGTAAATATCTATTCTAAACGCTTCTTTTCTACTTCTACTCTGTTCAAGTTTTCATAAGCTTTTAGAAGCTTAGCTTCAGTTGTTTCTAACTTTACTTTCTCTTATTGATTTAGATTTTCCTCAGTTTACAGCGTTTCATATAGCTCTTAAAGGTATCTTAACTCTTTCTCTTTTCTCAGACTAAAAATAAATTATTAATACAACGCTAAAATTACATTTGAAAAGTAATTTAATTAAGATCTGAGCCCATTCCCATATTTTGCTGCTCTAAATTTAGCAATTCCTATTTTTCAATGAGATTTATCTTGTCTGTTAGCTTCGTAAGCATTTTTTCAGGCGATTTCTTATCCTCAGAATCAAGTGATAAAGACAATAAATTTCTGTGGTTCATTGACTTAGACATAGGATCTTTAAGTGGACCTCCCGCTGAAGTTGATCTATATCCGACTTTAAAGCTTTGATTTTTGCTAAATCTTGATTAATACGGAAAGCTCTGCTATGCATTCTTAGCTGATTAAGGAGCTATTGGAGGAAGTGTAGAGCCATTGTTTTGAGTATTCCCTCCTAAATTTTATGTCTATTTTCTGACAAGATTGTTTCTAAGTTCCATCTTCATTGGGGTAGCAGCTGATAGATTAAGCTTATTCTTGTTTGTGTTTCTGCTTGGAGACAATGATCTTGTGTTTTTAGAGCTTTTTCCTTGAGAAGCGTTGGCTGAGCTTTGATTTAGGGCGGCTCTGTTATTTTTCTTTCTCAATTTAGCTTCTTTCAAAATCTGTATTGTTCCGTTGACTAGCTCATTTTCCTTAGCAGTAGAAATATAGTTAGTGTGACTGCCCATTGACATTTCCATAATATTTGATAAGTTAGAGTACACATCTATCGTACACCAGGGAAACTAAACCCAAATCCATCTCTTGTAGTAGTAGTATATCTAGGAGCTAGTACCTCCATTTTTGTTGTTGAGATTATCTTTAGCTTTCTCATTCTTGGAGTCTTCTAGTTCTTTCTTGATTTTATTCATAATCTGCTCTCTAACAATTGTATTATCTACGTTAAAATGCTCAACATCACCCAGAAGAGGTTCGTTGACAATTGAACTAACTGCAGTTGAATTTGCATGAGGGTTGTATAGATCATCTAACTTCTAGAGCTCTCCCAAGAGTGTGATAGATTCAAGCTCACTTTGGCCTCTGAGTGGGGGATGCTTAAACTAAGGAGTGTATTTGGTTTCTAAGTCAGCCAGCTCTTTAAAGAATCTAGAGAGTTGAATGAGAATCACAAAAAGTTCTTGATTGTTTGGGCGATACTTTACTACAAATCCCTCAAGAGCTTTATTATATTCTGCAACAGGATCATATTTATGCTATTCAAGGCATTGCCAGTAAGATGCAAGTTCATGTTTAATCTCAGGCACAAACATAATTGAAAACACTTCGATGTTAGAAATTAAGTCTTTAAGTTTAATCCAGCATTTACCCATGAAATATTGGTGTGAGAGTTCATCTATTTATCTCAGAGAAAATGTCTCTTTTTCTATGACCGTTGACAAATTTCTGTGAAGAACTATCTTTTAATCTTCATTCTTAATGAGCTGAACACTTTCCCTCACTGCTTTTTTAAAGCTTGAATGTTTGATAAAGATCTGTTCTTATTCCTTAACCAAGGCGAATCCAAAGACTGACATAAATCTTTGAAACTGCTAGTCACTTAAACTAGGTATTAACTCAAATAACTCCTTCTCCGTAACCCCCTTTCTTGATACATAGATGTATCCTATAAGAGTATCAAACTTGTATTGTTCCTCAGCAGTGTTATTTGACGAGATGGTGAATAAGTAAAGTCTAAAATGATTGATAGCTGTGATGAACATTTGCTTCAGCGATCTGCTCTCCAAAACTTATCTTGGATCTAAAGGTACTACCTTGAATAACTCATCATCTCTGCTTTGATATTTATTGTAGAGCAAACAGAAATTCAAGATACCTTTTACTACCAAAGGATTAGACTTTGAATTAAAGGGATCTTATATCTAAGAACATTAATCAGCTGTTACAATAATGTTTTTCAGGTAATTTTTTCTTATGAAGAATTTCAAAGCTGTAGAAACTGAACTTCCTTAGCTTACCATACTTTTGAGCTCTGGCAGTGAGCTAGGAATTTGGAATACAGTATTTTAGTTGGCTTAATTCACATTCGTAGCTATTGTCATGCTTTAATTTTTTATCATTGATGGATCATATGAATTTTATTTTGGATTCATTTGATTCATAGCTTAGAGTCCTTAGAATAGTGTGAATGCTGGTTTTTTCACCTTATTTTCCATTAATGAATAAGAGGATACCTCATTAGTACCTGGAGAAGGTGGAATATATGATAAACTCTGCAGTTCTTTCAATTCATCTGGATTAATAAAACTTTCCTAATGCGATAATCCTACTTTAAAGATCAGTTCTTATTTGACTTGATCAAGGAGCCTCGTACTTATTTGCTTTCCTGAATCAGATCTGGCATAATCTTCAATCATTGAAGAAATTTCTTAAGTGCTAACTCCATTCATGTAAATGATGGGATATTTTCTTAGCTTGAAATGATTCATTGCTTTTGAGTTTTTTCTTGTCATTAGTATAACCTTGATATGATTTGGAAAAGTCCTAGTAAAGAAAACTGGATTATTATTAATGACACTTACCATGGAATCCAATCAGCTGACTCTTCTCCCTAGGTATCAACATCGTGAAAATTCTCAAGGCCATCCAGGATTAGTATGATTTTGCTATCAGGATCTAATCTTTCTTCGTGTTTCTGACTTGCTAATTCAAGCCATCTAGCGAAATTCATTCTTAGCTTATCATCAATAATCTCCACTCTATGCTGGATATCATATTCTTGCCTTAATTTCACCAAAGTTCTGAATATGAATGATTAATACTTGAGATCACAGTTGGATACACCAGCGAAATGATATATTATCACGTGATTTTTATTGGGGTGTGGTTGGCCGACAGCTACTTTCTATATCCAAATTATTCATAAATTGCCGGAATTAGAAATTTTAAGAATAGATCTTACAAGTGGGTTAGTCAATTATTTAAGCCATTAAATCACTAATGATGATTTTCCACTGCCCTCGTCTCCTGTAATGATAAGTGGTGTATTTGAATTTCCATAACTCTACAGAAATTATATTTATCTTATTCCAAGGTATATTTGAAGGTTACATCTGAAAATCTGATTTCTTATTCCTAATTTTCTTCTCTTTTCTTTTTTAAGAAGAAATCAAAATATGTGAGCTCATTTTCATAACCATAAAACTTCCTATCAGAAAATTTAACTTAGGTAATAGGCCTACTATTTTTTGAAGTGATCTGCTATTGCCTAATGAGAGAAACTATTTTAGCGTTAAAATTATGCTATAATTTACTCGTTGTTACTGTGAAATGCCTTATTTGACATTATTTAAATTAATATTTTAAGTCTTATAGTTATGAAATTAAAAATTGATAAATGCATACATACGATAATAATAATAATAGTTCTCCTTCATACATTATAACATATCTCCTCATACTCGACTCCTAGTTTCCATTTTCTTAGGAACATCAGCATTTGTCTCTTGAGGATATTTGACTTGAAAACGTCTAGACTCTTCTCAAGAGCCTCAACTGTAAATGTATATAGTATTTGATTCTTAGCCATTGTTCTTAGCAAACTCAGATGATTCACTGTGCTTTGTCCTCTTTGATTCATATTTAAGTTGTTATTCCCTCCATCTGTTTGCTTGACTCTTTCAATAATGTTATGGAAAATTTGATGTCCATCAAGTTTAGGTCTCTGAGCACTGTGCGAATTTCTAGGTGCCAAGTCATATTTAAACATCTCAGCACCAATGTAGTCTCTAATCGAAAAATTTTTACTGTTTTACTTCTTGCTCTAGGTAGTAGGTCTCTTATATATTTTCTACTTTTTTAGAAGTGGATCTGTCACTGGTAGATATGGATAAGGAGGAGGGTCATTTAAGTAGACAAGATCCTCTGTAATGAACTTTGGGCCATTGACTATGAAAGTCTCTGACTGAATTTTGGGTTTTTCTTTTTTCTTGGTAATTGCTGTGCCATCTTCTCCATATTCAACGTAGTCATCATCATTTGAGAGCAAATCCTCATCTTCTTTAGTTGTGAAGTGTGGTAATAGTTAATACGCTTTGCTTAAACCAAAGTCAACTGTAACCTAATTCTTTCCACTGAGTTGCTCTTACTTTCTGTTTAGATAGTCATTAAGTTGATCAGGATTCAAGTAGAATTCATATTTGGGCCTCTTTCTCTTTGATATAATCAAGTTTTTACTCACTCTTTTTATGACTGATAAGTCATTTTCTAATTTACCCCTCATCATTCTATCGTTAAAGTGATGAGCTTTTTCCATGTCACCTAGATAAAAATATGTGACTGCTAGTTAATCACAAGCTGATATCTCAGATCTCTCGTCATTTTATTCCCATGACAGCTCCAATTATTTCCTGAAAAACTTGATAGCTTGGTTGTAGTCTTCAATCAGCCTGTAGCAGACGCCTATCTACTCAAATGCATAAATTTTCTCACGATATTTGAGCTTCTCGTCGCAGAGATTTTTCAAATGTCTGAACTATTTGATAGCTCCTTAGAAGTCTTTGAATTCTAGGTAGATTTCTCCTGCAAACTTATATGAATAAAAGATCAGAGTGAAATCTCCGTTCTCTTGACACACCTCAATGGCATTAAGCCAACTTTGGTATAATTGCTACTTTTTGAAATCCATTTATGCTTAGCTATTACCCTAGGGTCTCTTTGCTAAGTGCATTTTAATGTTGTTAATCTCATCAAGAATTCTCTGATACTAATCCACTACTACAAAGATCTCATCATAGGCTTTACCTTCAAATGTTGCTAAATTGTTAATTAGCACATTCTTTTTAGGTGTCATAAATCTAGCTAACTTGATTTCTTATGCTGTACCATCTCTTGTGTTTCCCAATCGAGGACCGAAATTCTTCTTTAAAAGCACAGAAATATCTCTGAACTAGTACTCCCCCTTGACGTTATTATGAGTGATATGTGCACTTGCATTTGACATAGCCCCTGAGAAATTTTTACTATTAGGCTACTTATCGTGAAACCGCACACCTTTCTTGGGACTTTGAGAGTTGAAATCTGATATTTTCTCCTCTGATTGAAATGTTTAACTGTCTGTTATATTTTTACTCTGTGAGTGATTCAGATTATAAGAACTTATATCCTTATTTTGAGGGATAAGCGGGCCTCTGAAACTCCTCTTTGAGGAATTTCTAATTGCCACTGGATGTATTGTCAGAGATCTTTGCTATTCTTGTATAGAACTTGAGGATTTTTGTAATTAGGATGGAGTCCTTTCCTCTTTAATCTTTTTTAACTAGCTTGGTCCTTTGTTTATACTGGCTGCTGCTGTAGATTGAGAACTGGTCGCCATATTTCTAATGATATTGGTGTATAAAGAAGTCTTAACCTTACTAGGCTTGTTACCCATTATATTAGAGTCAATGAATTCACTGATTTACTCTTATTACTTCTGTTCATAAAATTTAGACTTCGAACTCTCTAGACTCTGAGTACCTTAAAATATAGACCTTTTCATTTAAGTACTGAGTTCAGTTCTTTCTCTAGCACTATTCTAGGCTGTCATTGCTTGTCTTTTAAATACTCCGCTATCGTTGTGATTTAGTGTTTCTATCTATATGCTCTTAAAGTTGTTAGAATCATTTAACAGCTTCTTTTACTGCGAGGGTACTTTGTTGTCTTCAAGAGTCATGTCTTGGTAGTCTTTGACATCTGGAATATGCGCTCGAGTTTCTCTTCTTTTAGAAGTTATTTCAACAACATTTATTGATGCCTCAAGTCTTTTCTTAAGCATTTCTTTTCGTAACTCTATCTCCCTTTTTTCCTGTTCATAGAATGTCTGCAAAAGTGTACTTGCCTTTTCAGGATGCGAGCATTCTAATAGTTATTAAGTCTCCCTCTCAATGCTGAGTTTCAGTTCCCTTCTAAGTTTTATTGATTTTTCTTTTTTTATTTTCTTAGCCAACGGTAGCCCAATTCTGTTGAGCATATTTACTGTTTCTGATTTGCATTATATCTGTTTTATTGTTCGTGCTCCAACAAATTCAACTTTCCTATTCAGCAGCCTCTCTATACCAGACATCAAGATTTTTTCTTTTCCTTTTTCTGGATGATGCAACGGGGTAGAGGGATTTGGACTTAGTACATGCTTGGTTGTTACTTGACTCATCAGCTTTTGCAATGGTGACTAAACAGGTAGTTAAAGCTCTGACCCATCTAGAATTTATGACATTATTTATTTATTTTATTTCCTCAATAATTTTTTGATACATTAAAGAAACTTTTTCCACTTTATTGATAACAATTCCTTTTGATGGGGTTTTGGGGTTTTGGGG